ATAAAATGAACTCTCCCGTCGGTTTCGACGTATGAGGATCTGACAGCTAAATTGATTCAGTTAAGAAATTTTGTGCGATAATCTTAAGTGGCACTTAGGACACACTAGCGATTTACAAAAGCGGCCACATATGGAGCAAGAGTGAGGATTGTGGAATGAGATCACAGTTGGATTGGATGACCTTTTATATTTTGCTCTCTCTTCTTGAAGATGATTCAAACAAGCAGATTGAAAAGAGCTGAGTCTACTAAAACACGTTGATCTCAATTCTACCCGCTCCAATGCTAAGCGCTCAACGGTGTCATGTGGTAGATTGACAGCTGACAAGTTGCTTTTCAGCTTGTCTTTGTATCTTAACCATAGGCATCCTACATTCCTGTAGCTCTGATTTAACTGCCAATAAAGTTCTGAAAATGGTGGATGGTTCTGCACAAGCCTTCACCGCTTTAATCAAATCACTTGTGTGGGATTTCCGGCGGTTTACCTTGATTCGTTCATTGTTATCCACACAATTTACTTGCAAGGTCCGCTGGCGAGAGAGTGATAGATATATATAATGTGTATGTATATAAATATATATATATGCAATTTTTTATATATGTTATTTATATAATGTATATGCGCAGGAAAGCGCTCAATATCAGTGATAGAGCTAACATAGATGAATTGATGTGAGTTTGTGACCCTGGGTTTCACGCTAATTGCGATCGTCAGACAATCGTCTAAGGATCGAAAATAGCGTGAAACCCAAAGTCACAAACATCAATCAACTATATATATATATATATATATATATATATATATATATATATATATGCAATTAAAATTTATAAATTCATGAATCATTCATACAAAGAAACAAATATAGAGGTTAATAATTTAAATGGCGAGAATACATCTTCGCAAACAATATAAATAGGATACACCAACCCCGAACCTGTATATGAATGATATGATCCCTGTTTATAAATTCCAGTTGCATAAGGTCTTTTTAATTTTTTACAAGCTTTCGTCTGTTCCTACAGACATCCTCAGGTATGGAAATAGATTTGTTCTTGTTTTTTACTTCTCGGTAATAAAAGGACAACGAAAGTAGAGATGTAATCCGAAAAAATGCAATGAGAAATGTGTTATTGTTTTGGAACGTGCGGTCGCAACGCTGAGTTTGAATTTTAAATTTTAAGGTTGTGCGTTTTTGTACAAAAATAGTAATAAGAGAATTCTTTTTTACTTTTGTAATTCTTTGTAATGTCACACTTATTATCCGAAAGTTATTTTAATTTCAATTATAGGTGCAATTATAATTTATAAATTCATGAATCATTCATACAAAATTTTTAAATGTTTTTTGTATGAATGATTCATAAATTTATAATATATATATATATATAACATACTCCAGTGTCTTAGTAATTCACTGCTTAATTTCTTCTAGGCTTGTAAGAAGCGGGTTGGTACTATAGAACAGTCATCATAGAAAAAATCACAAGTATCAGGACTCGACCGATGCGCTTTCTGGTAGATTGTCATTGACATAAGTTCGTAAAGTCAAATTAGTTACTTTTTCACATTTCTTTTAAATTTGAGAAAAATTGAGGAAAAATAAGCCATGTTATTAGATTACAAGATAATGTCAATTTTACGGGGGCCAACCTATATATATATATATATATATATATATATATATATATGTGTGTGTGTGTGTGTGTGTGTGTGTGTGTATTTAGGCAGCTATCCTTCTTTCATGCACATTTTATTGAATACTTTGAACATGGACGTAATATCTTGACCGTGTTTTGAAAATGTAAACATTTTAGAAAACATACATACAACGAAGTATTTCTTATTTTAGAAGTTAAAATATAATCCTTGAAAATGGCTAGATGTATAGCCGAAAGCGCTCGGATAAAAGGAACATTCGGACAGTTTTTATATAATTTATCATCCGAAAAGAAAATAAATTATTAGATCGCATTAGAAATTGTATAAAAAACTAAATAAAAAGCATTGAAGTCAACACTTAGATATTAACTAAGTGTTAACTTCAATGTTCACTTTTATATTTTACACGCTCTATCTCTGATATTGAGCACTTTATTCCATAAATATAGCACAACTTAATGGTATATTTCTTTCATATATATATATATATATATATATATATATATATATATATATAATTCATCAGCCCAGAATAATCTCCAACAGAAGCACTGGACGGACGTTTCGGCCTATTTGGGACTCATCAGCTGTGCGCATCCACTAGCGAGAATTGAACCGGGAGCGTTTCGATACAACACAAACGTCATACCACAAACTAGACTCGATATAGCGCCGCTACTCACTCAGTTCGCCAGTGATACTCATCCAAGTATCCATCCAGATAACCTCGTACCAGTACCCCAAGTGCCACGTCTGCTTATTGACCCTTAACCGTTTCTCACGAGCAATCGCTGGGTCAAGCAAGAGAAGGAATAAGGGTCAATACAGTCGAGCTGCTTCTTCCACGAACCGCAACTTTGTATAATCTTAAATTGTTTTGTCTAAGGCTACTGCTAACTTCCTCATTCATCTTAAACACAAAAACGATATAAAACAGCTAAAAGTGTTCCTGCTGCACTTGGATAGAATACATTCTCCTGTAGTGGCTGTGGCGTTTTTTTGCAATTTTTGAGCCGGTCTCATAAGTCTTGCATGTTATAGGCGTGCAGATAATTAGTAGGTGGTCGTCGGAACCTCATATGTCAAATTCGACGAGAGAGTCCATAATCATGATCATGATCATATATATATATATATATATATATATATATATATATATATATATATATCTTGAACAATAAAAAATATTAAAAATTAAAATCTCCAGACACACTGGGTTGTAGATTAATATTCTTTTGTTTTTTTCTTATTTCATTTAGATTCCTCTAATTTATATATATATATATATATATATATATATATATATATATATATAATATTAGTGGAAAATATACATACATATGCAAAATATATAAATACCCATACATGTATATTTTTAGAAAAGAAAATGCCAAGAGGAAGAATCCAGGTAGAACTCAATGTCTAGGACAGAGTAAGGATATAATAAAAAGGCTTAAGCACTAATATTCCATGGTCATAATATATTCCATTGGAATCGTAAATACGATCCAATGCATCAGACCTACAAATTCTTTTTGAATTTGTAGGTCTGATGATTTGATCGTATTTACGATTCCAATGGAATAAATTATGACCATGGAATATTAGTGTTTAAGTTTTTTTTATATATATATATATATATATATATATATATATATATATATATATATATATATATTGAAATGGACGAAATTACAGTTATTTTAATATAGTTTCTGTTTATACTTTATTTTTACAGATAATTTTTTTAAGTCAACGCTTTCTTTATAATAAACATTATAACACAACATTTAACGACCTGAAAACCCGAGAAATTTCATAAGATTTATGTGTTCTCCGATAGGAATCGAACCTGTTTCCTACACAAAACGTCATATAGCCTGACGTGATATACCATTTAGCTACAGAGGAAGCATCTAGTTAGCAAGGGGGAATTATTGTTTTTAACTTCTCGGACATTCAGGCCGGCAAATTAATTTCAATAAATTACAAATTTATTTCCAAGTTATAAAAATTGTTATCGTACAAATAATTGCAGAAAAAAAAAATTGCAAAAAATCACGTAGAAAATCGCCGAAAACAATCGCAGTAATGAAAACTAGGGAATACAAACTTTCATGATTTTTTTTAATTCTGATCACGGAGTCGGACTGATTCCACAATGGTATGATATTTTGGGCTACAGCCTCTAGGAGAAAAGTTGAAAACACGGAGAATTTTATTTTGAAACACTGTAATTTGAGAACAGTATTTTTTTTCATTTGGACATGAGCTATTGAAAGTTGCGGAGTTGTGTCCCTTTAATTGTTTTTATCAGTAGAAGCCAAAATGGCGGAATCCGAAAACAATGGCAGTAAGGAAACTTGAGAATCCAAAATTTCAGGATTGCAGGTCCGGAATTTTTTTTAATTAGCTCACGGAGTCGGACTGATTCCAAAATGGTATAATTTGTTGGGGTACGTTCTTTAGGAATAAAGTTGAAATGTATGACACACTGACATCCGCTTTTATTTATATTGATTAATAAATATTGAAATAAATTATAAAAAAAAAAAAAAACCTAACGAATGTATGTAACAAGCTTATATTTATGTCTATGCTTTATAGTAACCACAGTGTCCCGAGTTGTTCTATATATTCATGTCTGCTGTTGGTAATTAATCCGATTTTTTAAACTTGGTAAGCAAAGTAGTCCATACTGGATTGATTGATGTTCCTAAGGAAGTTCGACCGAAATATTTTGATAGTAAGAAAACATCTCAATAGAAAAATGAGCTAAACAGTCTGAAAAAAAAAATTCTTAATATTAAAAACGAACCAGCAAAACCGTGAAGAAGAAAAAAACAATGAGGAAAAGGAAGAAATGTGAAGCAAGACGAAAAAGGTACTACAAAGAAAACAAGATTTAAAGAAAAACAAAAGAAAACATAGAAGTTTAACAGAATTCGCCATTTTCAATCCGGTTACTCGGCGACTGGCCGGCCGTAAAATTGCGCATGCGCGTCTAATTCACAAAATGGCGCCTTAAGAATCGAGTGGCGTGTAGAAGGTGCTAAGGAAATCGTTCTTTGCCTCCACCCCTTTATTTTCTCTTGAGATTTTTATGGTCTATCGCTCACAATTGTAGCGTTGACTCTAGGCAGTTGGACATAGCGAATCCCTTTGGCGAACAAGTTAATGCTAGCAGGAGGGGATTGGACTTCGTATTGAACGACTTATATTTCAAGTATTCTTTATACGACTTCGTTTGCCGCCCTCACATAAAGAATTCTTTCTTTCGTCTTCTACAATAACTTTTTTTCTTTTCTTTCTTCTCGCACACTACCTTCTTTATTTCTATGTTCCTATCTTCTTCTTCTTCTTCTTCTCTCTCTCTCTCTCTCTCTCTCTCTCTCTCTCTCTCTTTCTATTGCTCTTTTGTAATTTTTCCCCTCGTTCATTTATTTTTCTTTTATCCTTTTTCTGTTTCGAGTCTAAGCATCGTCCTTGTTTCTTTCTGTCTTTAACTTCGATTTATTCACTTAAAATTTTCTCCTCTTGTCTCCTAATATTTTCTTCCTACAAAAACATCTTCTACTTTCACAAAATTTCACCCTATATATCGCCATTATTTATCAGTTTATTTTCTAGGATTTCCCACCTTTTTCTTCATTCTATCCATATTACGAATCTTTCATTCTACGTTGTTTCTTCTTGACTGTTATTCACATTGCCAATCCTTTCTTCTTTTTCTTTCTCCTTTTAACGTTATTCAGATTACGAAAACTTCTTTTTCTTTCTTCCTTAAGGTTATTCATATTACGAAACCGTTCTTCTTTTTCTTTCTCCCTTAAAGTTATTCATCTTGCGAAACCTTTTTCTTTTTCCCTTAAAGTTATTCATCCTTCGAAACCTTTTTCTTTCTCCCTTAACGTTATTCATCTTGCGAAACCTTTTTCTTTCTCCCATAACCTTATTCATATTACGAAACCTTTCTTTTTTTTTCTTTCTCCCTTAACGTTATTCATTCTGCGAAACCTTTCTCTTTCTCCCTTAAAGTTATTCATATTACAAAACATTTTTTTTTCCTTCTCCCTTAACGTTATTCATCTTGCGAAACCTTTTTTTCCTTTTTCTCTTAACGTTATTTATCTTGCGAAACTTTTCTTTTCTTTCTCACTTAAAGTTATTTATGTTACGAAAGCTTTCTTTTTTTTTCTTTCTCCTTTAACGTTATTCATTCTGAGAAACCTTTTTCTTTTTCCCTTAACGTTATTCATATTACGAAACCTTTCTTTTTTTCCTTCTCCCTTAACGTTATTCATCTTGCGAAACATTTTCTTTCTCCCTTAACGTTATTCATCTTACGAAACATTTTCTTTCTCCCTTAACGTTATTCATCTTACGAAACATTTTCTTTCTCCCTTAACGTCATTCATCCTGTGAAATCTTTTTCTTTCTCCCTTAACGTTGTTCATCTTGCGAAACTTTTCTTTTCTTTCTCCCTTAAAGTTATTCATATTACGAAACACTTTCTTTCTCCCTTAACGTTATTCATCTTACGAAACATTTTCTTTCTCTCTTAACGTTATTCATCTTACGAAACATTTTCTTCCTCCCTTAACGTTATTCATCTTACGAAACATTTTCTTTCTCCCTTAACGTTATTCATTTTACGAAACATTTTCTTTCTCACTTAACGTTATTCATATTACGAAACACTTTCTTTCTCCCTTAACGTTATTCATCTTACGAAACATTTTCTTTCTCCCTTAACGTTATTCATTTTACGAAACATTTTCTTTCTCCCTTAACGTTATTCATCTTACGAAACATTTTCTTTCTCCCTTAACGTTATTCATCTTACGAAACATTTTTTTTCTTCCTTAACGTTATTCATCTTACGAAACATTTTCTTTCTCCCTTAACGTTATTCATCTTACGAAACATTTTCTTTCTCCCTTAACGTTATTCATTTTACGAAACATTTTCTTTCTCCCTTAACGTTATTCATCTTACGAAACAATTTCTTTCTCCCTTAACGTTATTCATCTTACGAAACATTTTTTTTCTTCCTTAACGTTATTCATCTTACGAAACATTTTCTTTCTCCCTTAACGTTATTCATTTTACGAAACATTTTCTTTCTCCCTTAACGTTATTCATCCTGTGAAATCTTTTTCTTTCTCTCTTAACGTTGTTCATCATGCGAAACTTTTCTTTTCTTTCTCCCTTAATGTTATTCATCTTACGAAACATTTTTCTTTTTCCCATAACGTTATTCAGATTACGAAACCTTTCTTTTCTTTCTCCCTTAAAATTATTCATATTACTAATTCGATCTTCCTTTTCCTTCGTTCTTACCATTGTTTATAGTGCACATACTTCCTTCGCTTTTATTTTTTTTTTTTCCGTTATTCATATAGCGTATCTGTTCTTCCTTTCTTTCTACATTACTCTTATTCAATCCTTCCTTTTACTTCTTCCATTATTCTTATAGCAAATCCGATCTTCATTTTCTTTCTTCCTTAACTTTATTCATATTACGAATTCTTCCTTCCATGACCTTTCTTACGATTATTCATATTCCTAATTCTTTTTCCATTTCTTTCTTCTTTACCTTTCTTCATATTGCAAATGCGTTCTTCTTTTTTTCTCCCTTATCATTTTACAAATTTCTGCCATCTTTTTTTCTCTTCTTTGCTGTTTCTCATATTGCAAATATTTTCTTCCATATCTTGCTTCTTTATCTTTTATTTCTTGAGTCTTTTCTCTAGATAAATTTCCATTTGAAAATGTCTTCCTATTTTACACTTCCTGAAGGTATGAAACGCAGTTTATCCGCCATCTTTAATTATTTTCTTTGCTTCTTTCTTCTTCTTTGCTTTCATTCTTTTTTTTTTTTTTTTTGTCAATATTTCCCTCGTGTCGCATTCATTATGTTCTTCATCTTCCTCTTCTTTGTTTTCCTATCCATTGTTTTCGCGTTTTATACAACGGCACAAACGAACAGAATCACACATTGGGGGTTCATTCGCCTGGAATGGCCGAGGTCTCCATAGAAAAACCACCAGCGAAAATCGGCGGCGTAGCGGTGCATGGAATCGTCGGTGAAGTTTGCTCGAATCTGAATTAATTGAGACGTAACATCGGAATAACCGGCGTGAATGCATTTCGATTTGCAGCCTGGATTTTGCGATAAATTTGAAAGGGACTAAATGCAAGCCACTGGCTGTCCAGCGATTTAGAGATGATATGCATGTGCAATCGGTCAAATTGAGATAAGATAGATGATGATGGAGAAATAGAGAAAACCCATATATCAAAATGAAAAATAGATAGATAGATAGATAATATCAAATCGAGATAGATATGAATAGAATGAGATAGATAGATAGAAGATAGATAGATAGATAGATAAATAGATAGATAAGGAAAAATGAAAGATAGATAGATAGAGAGATAGATAGATAGATATGAATAGAAGATGAGATAGATAGATAGATAGATAGATAGATAGATTTGAAGAAAATGAAATCGAATAGAGAGAGATAGATAGATAGAGAGATAGATATGAAATATCAACAGATATGAAATGGAGAAGATAGATAGATAGATAGATAGATAGATACACATACACGTACATACATCCAACAAATATGAATAGATACAAGAGAAATAGATAGATAGATAGATAGATAGATAGATAGATAGATAGATAGATCAAAAGATGTGAACAATATCAGTGGGACAGAAAAATATTGACATCCAACAAGAGAAAGTATGATAGCTATATATATATATATATATATATATATATATATATATTTTATAATATTAATGCTCTGTAAATTTACATTGAGCACTATTTTGTAAAAATAAAATATCTATAAGAACACCGGATTATATATCTTACTGTTTTTATATATATATATATATATATATATATATATATATATATATATATATATATATATAATCATGACACGCGGGAATGTCTCAAGTACGCCGTGGGAAACACAGAGTGAAAGAGATAGAAATGATTGTGAATAGGGAATTGAGGAAACGATAAAAGATGAACGTGGTCCAACACAACAGAAGATGGCGATTGATGCTGCATTGAAATACTTGGAAGATTATAGTTCTCAGGGAAGCAAGTAAGAGGAAGGGAGTTCGACTGTCGGGAAGTACAAGAAAAGAAACTTTTTGAGTGGAAGTGGCCGTTACACTTAACTGTTTTGACATTCAATGTGTGGGACCGAGATGCCAAGTATCACTCATAAATTCATGTGATCGGGCCACCAAAAAAAAAAAAAAAAAAAAAGCACGTGAGGTCAGTTTCCATTAAAATATTTGTAGAAAAGCAGAGTGAAGACACGTCACGACTATGAGAAATTAGGAAAGTGACGCCTGATATATACGTGAAAAAGCATAGATAGATAGATAGATAGATAGATAGATAGATAGATACGAACAGACTGAGATAGATAGATAGATAGATAGATAGATAGATAGATACGAACAGAATGAGATAGATAGATAGATAGATACGAACAGACTGAGATAGATAGATAGATAGATACGAATGGACTGAGATAGATAGATAGATATCAATTGACTGAGATGGATAGATAGATAGATAGATAGATAGATAGATAGATAGATAAATACGAACAGACTGAGATAGATAGATATCAATTGACTGAGATGGATACATAGATAGATAGATAGATAGATGGATAGACATGAATTGATTGAAATAGAGAGAGTGAGATTAATATGGACTGCGATATATATATATATATATATATATATATATATATATAGAGAGAGAGAGAGAGAGAGAGAGAGAGTGAGAGAGATATATGAACTGACTGAGATATAGAGCGAGAGAAAGCGTTGGACAGTATGTGATATATATATATATATAGATAGATAGATAGATAGATAGATAGATAGATAGATAGAAAGAAAGAGAGATTAAGAAACGAAAATAATCAGAGACATATTGACAGATACAGAGACAAAAATAAAGATAATAGATAAGAGAGAGAGAGAGAGAGAGAGAGAGATTTAAATAGGTTCCAAGATAGATATGATCAAACTGAGACAGACACATAAACACTCAACTATATTCTTGTGCCAGATTATTATATGCTTAGAAAATACAATGAGTTTTAATCTTCAATGGGCCGCACAGTCTAACAACTAGATTCCATCATTACACGCGGGAGTGTCTCAAGTACGCAGCGGGAAACAGAGATCATGCCATGTTTAATGGATGTCATTTATCAGTTAATTCACCTCTCCAAGTTCTCCACTGCCTTAACCAGATATTGAACTCAAACTCTTTGCGTCCTGTCACTCGATCTAGAACACTCTACCGCAGTGAGCGAAATAAAGTGTTCAGTTATATATATATATATATAATCGCACATTAATTACATTATTTGGACTATCGTCCTCATCTTTGTCACCATATTTATTATTATCATGCTAGGCCACAAAAATCTCCTGCGCCGACCAAGCATAGAAATGAATACAATATGGGAACCAGTAATAAGGAATGCCAGAGAAAAGCAATAATAACAACAAAAAATTGCAATATGAACTCTAGTAAAAACATGTAATGAAAACAGCAAAAACTGCAATATGAGCACTGGTAAAATATCTCATCTCAGAAATATAGATAAATATGGAAGAAGGCCGTAGCGTACAACGGTCTAAACGCCGTGAATATGGCAACGAAGATGAGGACAACAGTCCGAACAAGGTAAATAGTGTAAATAATTACAATACCTCATCTCAGAAATATAGACAGATATAGAAGAAGGCCGGAGCGTACAACGGTCTAAATGTTGTGAATATGGCAACGAAGATGAGGACAACAGTCCGAACAATGTAAATAGTGTAAATAATTACAATACCTCATCTCAGAAATATAGACAGATATAGAAGAAGGCCGGAGCGTACAACGGTCTAAACGTCGTGAATATGGCAACGAAGATGAGGACAACAGTCCGAACAATGTAAATAGTGTAAATAATTACAATACCTCATCTCAGAAATATAGACAGATATAGAAGAAGGCCGGAGCGTACAACGGTCTAAATGTTGTGAATATGGCAACGAAGATGAGGACAACAGTCCGAACAATGTAAATAGTGTAAATAATTACAATACCTCATCTCAGAAATATAGACAGATATAGAAGAAGGCCGGAGCGTACAACGGTCTAAACGTCGTGAATAAACGAAGATGAGGACAACAGTGAATAAATGTGTAAATAATTACAATACCTCATCTGAGAAATATAGACAGATGAAGGACAACTAAAGTCGTCAATATGGAACAATGGACAAAGTCGAACAATGTAAATGTGTAAATAATTACAATACCTCATCTCAGAAATATAGACAGATATAGAAGAAGGCCGGAGCGTACAACGGTCTAAACGTCGTGAATATGGCAACGAAGATGAGGACAACAGTCCGAACAATGTAAATAGTGTAAATAATTACAATAACTCATCTCAGAAATATAGACAGATATAGAAGAAGGCCGGAGAGTGCAACGGTCTAAACGTCGTGAATATGGCAACGAAGATGAGGACAACAGTCCGAACAATGTAAATAGTGTAAATAATTACAATACCTCATCTCAGAAATATAGACAGATTTAGAAGAAGGCCGGAGCGTACAACGGTCTAAACGTCGTGAATATGACAACGAAGATGAGGACAACAGTCCAAACAATGTAAATATTATAAATAATTACAATACCTTTTAGCGGGTCGCATTGAGGAATCGGAGAGCCGAGTTCGAATTCCACTCGAATCCATTACATTCATTTACGCGCTAATACCCTTGGGAAAGTTATGAATCTTCTTCTCTCCCCCCTCTATGGGTAAATAGCAGGACAGACTGATACGATAGATCATCTACAAACTACATATCTATAACGAATAGGTTTTCCCTAAATGTATAAAATTATGTTCAAAATATCTATAGTTACAGGCATGCAATTGCTTACAAAATATTAATCTTTGGACATTATATAAGCTATAGGGTTGTTATATGCTGCTAAACAAAATTAACTAAGTGACTAAGCTTTCTATATTTGTACTTCATATGGGAAAGCATTAAAAAGACAGGTTATTTCTTACAAGAGTACATATTGTACAACGCGACTAAATTTTTAATGCAGTAGAATCCCTGACAACCGGACTAAGAAGGTTTTCCGGATATAAGGAACTGTTTACAAAGTCCGGATATGAGGGGTTATATTTAGATTAAAATAAAAGAACTGAAATCAGGTTTAACATTTATTTTAAATATTTTTATAGTAAACAAAATAAGCTAATGGTGAGTGAAATATAACGGAATTGATTTTAAGGAAAAAGAAATAATGTAATGTTAATGAAAATTCATTAAATTAAGTATGCCACGTATGCAAAACAAATAATGTAACGAGGATTTTTTAAATGCTGTTGCATTCTTTCTCTTTTAATGCCATTCTTAACTTTTCTGCATTTTGTTTTGCTTTTGTTCTTGAATTTTTTAAACGAAAGACACTTTTTTTTCAATTCTGCGTGCGTTATTGCAATCGTCATAGCTGAATGCTGGCTTTCTTTCCATAAAACTGACAAACTTTTCAGTAGCTTTTTCAATTTCAGTTCAGGTTTCATCACAATCATGTTTTGACAGTGCGAATGCTAGAGAATAGTTTCTTTGGAAGATTTTGTATCATACAATATTGACTTTCCTATGTTGAACTCATCCATTAGTTACAATAAACTTTCACCAGCGTCTGGTCTGTTTAAAATTTCCACTTTTTGCGATAACTTCAAAGTTGTACTTTTCCTCTCATTCCCATCACCTTTTGCACCAATACAAGCCATTAGTGTGAAATATGCAGAAGCAATTACCCGAAGTAAATTTCCTGAAAAACAGAAATTTTAAATCAGTTACATATCACCTTAATAGGTCAAATATAAATATATGCCGGATATGAGGGCTTCTATTGTAATAGAAGAATCATACTTATTATAAAACCCAGGTGTGTGTGTGTGTGTGTGTGTACCTACGTTTATATATTGGATCGGATTTCCTACATTTTTCAACCGATTTCAATAAAACTTCACAGGACTGCGTAAAATTACCTTGCGGTGGTTCAGACAGCGCCAAAAATTGGAAAAAAACACAATTGTTTTTGCACGAAATCAATTTGAAGACATGATTAAGAGGCATCACGAGAATGAAAGGGGGGCAACTCATATCGAGTTATACTTAAAACCCAGGTTGTTTGTTTGTGTGTGTGTTTGTGTTGTGTGTGTGTGTGTGTGTGTGTGTGTGTGTGTGTGTGTGTGTGTGTGCGTGTGTGTTTATATATGGATTTTCAACCGATTTCAACAAAACTTCACTTTTTTTAGCAGGTAGTGTTTCTTATTGTCTTGCACACTTTTTTTTCTTTATTTTTACATTCAGAATGCTTCAAAAATTCCATTTACAAGACAATTGTTTATAATAAAATTCTATTCAATCGATAGACTCATAACAATTGAAAATAATGTTTTTGTTTGAGTTTGACCAATTCGTAAAAAAAAAAACAAAAACAAAAAAAAACTAATTAAGACATGCGTGTCCGTCAACCTTAAACAATAATCTTTGTTAATTTTATTTTTCAGTCTTTATGATGGTCGATATTTGATCTATCTCTTACTGTTACATCCCCGGGCAACACCGGGCTCTACTGCTAGTCTTAAATATGTAGCCCAGAGAACTGTATTTGTTTAAAATATTACTGTATACAGGAATATGTTATTATTTCAATATTTTATTTCTTAACTACTTGACATTATATAATCCCCATTACTCATTCAATCGTTGATTTTCTTAACCTTTCTACTGTTTCGATGGAAGTGTCAGTATCAAACAAGAAAAGAATGTAAAATATCTGGGAAGTGTTTGAACAGATGAAAAATAATGTGACCCCGAAGATGAATTGGAATGGCAAATAATGTTCTTCAAAAGAGAATGTAATAGATAACAGGAAATTATTCTGATAAACAAAATATACCAAACTGCTATAGAAATATCAGTGCTCTTTTATAGCAATGAATGTTGGACAATTACCTTAGAGATGGCGAGAATTAATTTGGTTGTTTTTTTTACGGCTTATCGACCTTTTGCACTTCATTTACAGATCTAAAATAGTTTTAGGGTGTAAGAATTATTATGGAGATATTAATTAATTAACCCATAGCTGAGGAGTAGAGTAATGGATTGTAGCTCAGACTGAGGAATCGGAGAGCCGAGTTCGAATTCCATTTGTGTTCATACGTGCTAATAGATTTGGGAAAGGCATGAGAGACGGGGGAGTAATGGATTGCGGCACGGACTGAGGAATCGGAGAGCCGAGTTCGAATTCCGGTCGAGATCATTACATTCACTTACGTGCTTATAATCTTTGGAAAGGTATATATCCAACACTTCTGGGGTAAAGAGGCACGTTAGCGTAATTGGGATCGGCTCATGTTTAAAGGATCGAAAGGGCCGAGTTCGAATTCCGGTCGAGTTCATTTCATTCACTTACAGGCAAGCTATGAATCCAACTCTTCTCCCCTCCAACTATGGTCGAAGTATTGGTGCATAATTATCAAGCGTTTTGTAGGCGAGTAATTTGTTAATAATTTTTTTTTTTATTATTTTATTTTCAGTTTATAAAAATGTGTCTCGATAATCATACTCTCCGGAATAATCATTTAAAATGTTATTGTTGAATTGTTGTTTCTTTTTTACATAATAAATATTATTTATTAAAGACATTTTTTATGTTTAACGTTGTTATTTATTTATTTCGGTAGACAAGGTCGAAATTTTCTCGGACATTCAGGCCGGTAATTTCTTAATATATGACGTCATTTGTTTACATTTGATACGCCAGAGCAGTTATGAATGTACGAGATTCATGGAAGATTGAAGTTTATAAGCAGTAAATTCGACCTTGTCTACCGAAAAGGTTCTTTGTGGCCCAGAGGTAAGGCACGTCAGCATAAATGACGGTTCCGTATAGGATGCAGGTTCGAATCCTGTCAAAGAACGAATGTTTTCTATGAAAATTTCTCGGACATTCAGGCCGGTAAATGTTATTTAATACTGTTTATCATAAACAGAGCATTTGCTTAAATACTTGTATCTATAAATAACAACGTTAAACATAAAAAATGTCTTTAATAAATAAACTGTCGGACCTTGTCCATTTTTTAATATAATAAATATTATTGGAAAACGCCTGATAATTATGCACCAACCCATAGTTGCTATACGTTTATTTTTCAGAGAATGTAAATAAATCTAAAAACATGCTTGTGTCGCTAATCAGCATTTGATTAATTGGCTGATTCGTTTTCTACGGATTATCAACCCAATGCAGTGTATTTAAAGCTAGAAAATATTTTCATAATGCAATAATTGATTTTCAGATATAATGATTTAGTGATAAATGTCTTACTAATTGCCCCTCTGCTGGGGGTTGGCGTAGCGGATAGGTACCTTTCCCTTTGCGTGTAAGTGAATATAACACACCGGACGAGATTTGGAACGCAGCTCTCCGATTAACAAATCTGAGACATTATTCATTACACCCACCCCACGTAGATTCAAGCTTACAGAGCCTTGTATTCCCAATCGGCCAGGTTCGACATTGCTTAACTTCGGTGATCGTACGGGAACCTGTTTCAACGTCATGAGAGATGGTGTAAATGGTCAAAAGAAGAGGAAGTCGGGTGGTTAGTAAAAAAAAAAAACAAATATTGCTAAGAGTTACGAAGGATAGGAAGTTGTGGAGAGCCGTGATAGCTCACGTCTTCATGGGACACGACAAAGAAGAAGAAAAGAGGAGGTGAGGAAGAAAAAAAAAGGAGGAGGAGGATGGGAGAAGAAAAATGGAGGTAGAAGAAGAAGAGGAAGGAGGAGGAGGAAGAGGAGGAAGAGGAGGAGGAGGGAAGACGAAGAAGAACAAGAAAAAGTGGGGGAAGAGAAAGAAGAAAAAGAGGAAGAAGAAGAAGAACAGAAAGAAGAAGGGGAGGAGAAGAAGAAAAGAAGAGGAGGAAGAGAAAGAAGAAGAGTAGGGAGAAAAAGAGAGGAGGAAGCGGAAGAAGAAGAAGAGGAGGAGGAGGGAGATGAAGAGGAGGAGGAGGGAAAAGAAGAAGAAGTGAAGGAAGACAAAGAAGAAGAAGAAGAAGGGGGAGGAGAAGATATAGAAGAGGAGGAAGAGAAAGAAGGAGCTGAGGGAAAAGAAGAAGAAGAAGAAGAAGAAGAAAAGGAGGAGGAGAAGAAAAAGAAGAGGAGGAAGAAGAAGAAAAAGAAGGAGGAGGAGGAGAGGGACGAGAAGAAGAAGAAGAAGGAGAGGGAGGAGGAGAAGAAGAAGAAGAGGCGGAGAAGAAGAAAAAGAAGATGAAGAAGAAGAAGAAGAAGAAGAAGAAGAAGTTTTGTTGTTTCCTAGCTATTTTGCTAGTTTTTTTTTCTTTTTCTATTGGAATAACACAAGAAAAGGCTGGAGGTCATTCCATTAATTTAGAGTTTCCGTAACCTTTCCTGGCTGAATGGTCAATAATCAATTTTTAAAGAATGGCGAGAAGCATTGTCTCGTATAAATATTCTATTTATAACTTGAAATTTCTTGGCTGTGTTCTCTACGACTTACCAAACCTCCTGTCCAAGAATTTACAATAGTTCGTTTTATTTATCTTGGCAACATCATCATCAACTTTGAATTCATCTGTAATGTTACAGCCGCTTTCGGATTCCTCGACTGGGACGTCAGATTACACCGACTGCACCTCAACAGATGGGTAAGACAACCCCAATGAAGCGTCCTCGGTATGACGATAAACTACATCCGGCAGTAAGGCATCTGACCTGGAGGTTTTGAGATTTGTGCAACCGCCTCTTAATTGCTGTGGCTCCCAGATCCACCCTGACCTGGAGTAACAGCACTTGATAGGTTCCCAGTTATAGTCAAGTACTTAACCCTAAAACTAGTGTCAAAACACTATAAAACTGTAAAAATAGGTTATTATAGTAAATATACCAGGAAAAGTTTTTTTTAAAAATTACCGGCAATATATATATATTTTTTTTTTTTTTGAAAAAATACATTACCGGGAATACATTTGATTCTTGACCTAAAACCCATATGTGACGTCCCTCGACACCGCCTTCTCCGCCCCTCGCTGCTTTGTTCGGGTGTCGCCGCTCCATACGTGACGTCCGCCTGTTTGCGTCAGTGGTGTTGTCCCGTCCTGTGACGACTAACTGGCTTGGTATCGGTCGCGGCACCCAAATGTGACGTTCTAACCTTTTGGCGATTCGGATGGGAATCTGGTTAGATTCGATATCAGCCTCGTCGTTCCCAACTCGCTTCCAACGTCTGGTTACCAAAGTAACTGCGTTGATCTCCAGTCGCCTACCCAAGTTGTGAATTGATCTTAGGCAGACGAAATCAATCAGTAGTTGGGGCCGTAATGCAAATTGAGTTCAAACGAGGGTGATATCGCACAAATATGCATAAAATAAAATAAAATGATAACTCAAAAGTTCAAGGTATCAAAAAAAGGATAACAATACTTTATATCTAGTTGCTGGATACATAGGACTGCGTCTATCTCCCGTGCCGCTATATGGATTGTGACACGTTAATTTTGTTAAGCGAGTTTTAATATCTTAAGTTGTCTGTTCTTTGAGAAATTGGTTCTTGGTGTGTCTTCAGGCGAAAGTCGAAAAACTTATTTTGGTGGTATGGATCTAAGTCGCTCTTCAAAATAAATTGTTCTTGGATTGAAGACGAGTTCGGAAGTTGCGCAAATCTTAGTCAGCTGCGAGGCCTGCTTCAACTGAGCACTCTGGATTGAACTCCTCTGAACTGAACTGAACTCAACTTGACTCTTCTCTGCTGAACTCATTTTTGCTCGCTGCGACTTTGTTTATATGGACGCCGACCAAAACCGGGGTGGGTTTGTCGGGGTTGGAGGTTCCTCGATAATTCTAAATCCATATTCACTTCTTTTATTTTTGGTTAGGAATTTTCCACTCCTTTCCATTTTTGGAAGTCTTCTATTACTCCCACCTTCTCTTTATTCTTATATGGATATCTCACCATATTTCAGAGGGGCGTCAACGGTTCCCCCCCATTTCTTCGTAGCAACTTCTCATACCTATCCTCTAAATTGGCGGCGGCGGCTTCCCTCCTTGCGTCACGTGATCATCTCCGCCTGGCCCTCGTTATCATTCGGTCAATGGCGTCCAGCCGGGTGTGTGTGATCCAACTGGCTTTGTTTTAGGAAGAAAAAAAAATACATCTTGCTTAAAAAAAAAAATTATCTTTTTCTTTTCCTTTTCTTTCCTTAATCGCAGCTCTCATCTTCCCTAGCCGCCAACAGAACAATGCGACCAGTAGTGTGATAACCTCAATTCCCATCTGGACTTCGTCAGTCAGATTTTCGCCAATTATCAGAATGGGTGGTCGTCCAGCAATTACGGCCAACCCTTCCGATTATATTGTTTCGCCCTTATCGCTACATTCTAACAAAACCCAGACGTTGTCTAACGATATCTTTCCCTCGACGAAGACTTAACCTATTTCCTTTTCTTTTCCTTAGTTCGTGGGTGGTCAGCAGCCCGTGACACAGTTAAATGTTTATATATTCTGTCCCGGAATTTAGCTAGCCGATCTGGACTTTGTCAATTAGATGTTCGCCAGCATTAAGTGTCTGTTATCTATCTCCGATAACACAAGTTCGCCACCAGAACATAGTCGATTTTCTTATCCATTTGGAATTTTCCTGCAATGGTAATGAAACCTTTCGCCATTTGCTAGTTATCAAAATAACATTGCCAATGTCCCCGGTCGTGGGTGGCTTCTTTTATCATCTAAGCTTAAGTCTCGCCTCTCTTTTCTTTTCTTTCCTTTCTCTTTTTCCTTTCTTTTCTTTTCGTCCTGGTAAATGGTGTCACACATATACAAAAATCTGACTAAAAATTGATTCCTTACAAAGAATACATATTCTGTTCGTACTAATCTATCCAAGAAATCTTGTCGCCATTAAATAATCCGTTAAGGTTTATATGCTGAAAACAAAATAAGCCGAATCAAACTCTCTACAAACAGTCTTTGCAAAAATACGTGAATGAAATCTATGTACAAACTGATTTCTTACAAAGAATACATATTCTATTCATACGAACCTATCCTAAAAATGTTGTCGGCATTAAATAAACCATTAATGTTGATATGCCAAAAAAAAAAATAAACACAAACCCTGATCTATAAACTGATTACTTACAAAGAATACATATTTTATTCATACGATCCTATCCTAAAAATCTTGTCGGCATTAAATGACCCATTAAGGTTGATGTGCCAAAAACAAAATAAACCCAAACTCTGATCTACAAACTGATTACTTACAAAGAATACACATTATATGCATACGAATCTATCCAAAAAATGTTGTTGGCAATAAATAACCCATTGAAGTTGGTTGATATGCCGTAAAACAAAACAAAACCAATCTAAACCAACGAATACATATTTTATTCATACGAACCTATCCTAAAAATGTTGTCGGCATTAAATAACCCATTGAGGTTGATATTTCGTAAAAGAAAATAAACCAAACCAATCTAAACTAAAGAATACATATTCTATTCATACGAATCTATCCTTAAAATGTTGTCGGCATTAAATAACCCATTGCCATAAAACAATATAAGCCAAACAAACAATGAATGCTATTGTCATGCTCAGAATGCTATTAGAAAGGGCAATAAAAATGCAGTTTGCGTACATAGTTTTTTTTATAGACGATGCAAAAGTGTTTTATAAAGTATGACGTAAATAAATTTTGGAACTATTAGTCAATCTGGACACAATTAGAAAGGATATTAGATTAACCCAAAACCTAAACTGCCTGCATACCAACAAAAAATGAGTTTAGTAAATATTCAAAAATTGAAAGCACTATAAGACAAGATTATTTCTCACTAAACTTATTCAGCCTTGTCACCACTGTGTCAAGAGTCCCCGATGACCTATGGCACAGTGGAGAACTTGGACAGTGGAATTAACAGGAGATAACTGTTATCCATTAGAAAATATGCCGCTAAACATATAAAAAAAACGAATGTATCACATAGAACGTTGCAGAGAAAAAGTTCCCAAGGTCATGACTAAAAAAGAAAAAAAAAACGAAAATTTTAATCTCAGGTAACGAACTCTCAGGAACCAGGTGCGATACCTTTAATCAAGTAGGCCATATGTATCTTAGACAATCTCATGTTGAAAATCCTTTTAACATCAAGTTAATATCGGTGTGAATGTTCTTAACTGAAATTTGGCTAACCATAAGTCTTTTCATAAATTGACAGAAACATGTCTTTATGTACCCTACAGTTCAAAAGTTGAAAGGTACCCCCGCCAGATTTAGCGTAGTGTAAACTTGACAGAACTGTGAAAAAAAAAATGGAAAAGAGCTCTTAGAGTTATTGAAAAAAAAATGGAATCAATTATCAAACGTATACTTTGATAAACCTTTGCTACTTATACCAAAAATTTGTGCTGCAGTAATCAAATCTAAAAAAGGATATTTTGACGAGGTCAAAATTTAATTATAAAATGCTTCTTTTTTTTTCTTTTTGTTATAATAATATTTCTAATCTTTAAAAAAAAAGCGCTTACTTTTTTAACCATGTATGATAATTTTCTCTTATTTAAAGTAAAAAACAACTATTTTATAGACCAATTTAAAAAAAAATTACAAGTGGGTGGCAGCAAACTTCAATGTACTGTCAGGATTAAATGGAGAGTTTTATTTTTTTTCACGAAACTTAAGTGATCATATAGAGCATTGCAAAGAAAACAAGACACGGACAATAACTAAATAATTGCAGATAGAACGTTTTTAATCCCACGTGGCGAATTGACATGGAATCAGATATGTTACTTATAATCAAGTATGCCATTTTTATGAGACAATCTAATATTAAAATCCTTTTGCCATGTGTGAGTGTCCTTGACTCAAAGATTGGCTAATTAGGTTATAAAACATTGAAGTTGATTTTAACATTCCATTCAAATGAAATTTAATTTTATTATGATTCAGTTAAATATTTCAGTCCTTTCGTGTCATCATTGGTCTGGTTTATATGTTCATGTCTAACGTTTTACTGATTGTTTATAGCATTTTATAGAAACAGAACTTCCGGTATAACCTTGAACTTTAACTCTGGTTAACTAAAAAATATTTTTTAATATGCGAAGAACATTTTTAAAATCGTATTCACTTGAAAATATATTTTAAATATGCCAAAATATATATTTATATTTTTTAAATATTTAAAATATAGTTTGTTTAACACTAGAATAGCCGAGGTGCCGTTTTCGACACCTTCACATTTTCAACAAATTACGATGGAATAACTAGTTTTGGTTCGATGCTGAAGCTTATGGACAATTATTGAATTTTAACAGAC